TAAATGTCTTTTCCATCTTTTTTTTTTTTGTCTTTTGTCTTTTTCCGTGTCCGGCAACGGATCGCAACCCTCAGTGTTGCCCCCGTACCGGACCGGGGACCGGCAACGGGATTGCAACCCTCGGTGTTGCTCCCGCGCCTCGCTCAGCCAGTGAGCGGGAACCGGTCTATATGTGGGATCCGAACCCTCGGGCAGGAGTGCCGCCGCGCTTCCCAAGCAGCGCACAGTGCGCCACCGGGCCGGCCCGTCTTTTCCATCTTAACTAAGCACTTATCCACTGTGGCTCTAACTTTTGCAGTTTGATGTGTGACGGCAAAACTAGCATGAATTTCTTTTTCCTTCTTTACAATTTCACAAACAGAAAATTCATTCTTACAGTAGATCTCAGCAAACTGAGCATATGATCTTTTTTCTTTCCTTATCAAATGGAGAACTTTTACCTTTTCACTTAAAGCAAGCATTTCACAGCTTCTCTTTGGCATATCCAAATTGCCAGCATCACTACTCTTGCATTTTGGGGCCATTATGAAGTAAAATAAGGGTTACTCAAACACAAGCACTGAAATACCCTGACAACTGATCTGATAATTGAGATGGCTACTAAGCAAGAAATGGCAGGTAGGTAGCCTTGACAGTGTAGACACACTGAACAAAGGGATGAGTCACGGCCTGGACGGGATAGAACAGGATAGGGGGAGATTTCATCATGCTAATGAGAGCAGTGCGCACAGTTGAAAACTTATGAGTTGTTTACTTCTGGAATTTTCCATTTAATGTTTTCTGACTGCAGTTGACCGCGGATAACTGAGACTGTGGGAAACGAAACCACAGATAAGGTAGGACTCCTGAACTTGTCTATTTTCTAGCCACATAAGACAACTCTAAACTTAAAACACTAGTATTTCTAGGAATAACTATAAATCTATTATCTTAGACTTATTAAGCCTTACAAAAGACTGATAGATCTGACTAGGTAAAAATTTTAAACTTCTATACTCACCCCCCCCCAAAAAAAAGATTTATAAATGAAGATGAAATACATATAACAGATTACAGGCTGTAGGAAATATTTAGATCATCTGATATATGAGTTACCCTCAGTAAGTCCCTAGGTAATAATGCATAAGTACTAGTAGTCCAAAAGTAATAAAACATGAACACCCAATATTCACATAAGTAAAAATAACAAATGGTAAATTTAAGTAATAATGTGGTACTGTTTTCTACCTATTAAAATTGCAAAAGTTAAAAAGACAGAATATTCAGTGCTGGGACAATCTTTTTGTAGGGCACTTTGGCAACACATGTCAAAAAACCTTTAAAAATGCAGACACTAACAATTTTATTTCCAGATTAATCTTAATAACAGGACAAGTACACAAACAGGAACAATGTTCCTTCATCACAGTGTTATTTATAAGAATAAGTAAAAAAACTAAATGTCTAACAATAAGTACTTGGTTAAATAAATTGCAGTAGAACTTGATGTTTCAGCAAAGCAGATGAGGTTATTCAGGTTAGCCTTTCACAGAAAACAAGGAAAAAACACTGAAAATTTTTTAAAATACCTTCCTTAAAGCACAGAAGGAATACACTTTAATATACAAAGTCAGGCCCACACAAAGTGGGATATCTAACAAGAAACTCTCCTGTTCAAATGCTATGGGTCTTTGGAAAATCCCAGGACTTGAATTTCTTTTAAGGTGGTCCCTGATTCAAATGCCTCATGTCTGGAGGAAAGTGCCTTCACAGTATGTCTCAGAGTATCCCTACAAATAACTTTTCAAACACAATGTAAAAAAGGCACACAAAGAACTACACATTATGAGCAAAAACAACAGAAAAAAACTCATAATGTATATAGATAATAACTATGCTACTAGGTATAAAAAAATAAAAAAACAAGCTCAATGATACCTGTTTGAATGGGACTATAAAAAGTGATTTTTTTTTTTAAAGAAAGAACTTCTACAGATAGACAAAAATCCAGGAAAAGAATTTTTTTTTTTTTTACTAAAAAGGGAATTCATTTAATGTAAATGTGTGCATTAATAAAAAGAAAAATCTCAAATCAACAATTACATTTGTACCTTAAGAAACTAGAAAATGAAGAGCAAACTAAGCCCAGACCTAGCAAAGGAAGTAAACAAGAAAAGTTAGAGCATAAATAAAAGAAATAGGAAATAGAAAAAAAATAGAGAAAAATCAATGAAACCAAAAGTTGTTACTTTGACGAGATCCACAAAATTGAAAACTGACAAATCTTCACCTAGATGGACTAAGAAAAAAGAGAGAAAACTCACAAAACTAAAATAAGAAATGAAAGAGGGGTCATTACAACCAAATTTACAGATATCAAAAGGGTTGTACGAAAATACTACGAATAATTTTGGTCAACAAATTAGATCTAGATGAAATGAAGAAATTCCTAGGAAAACACCACCTACCAAGACTGAATTATGAAAAAAACAGAGAATTAGAACAGAACTATAGCTAGTAAGATGAGTGATTATCATTTTTCAGATTCCTGATGATGCAGGACTTCCCTTGAGGATTTCTTGCAAGGCTGGTCGTATGGTGGTGAACTCATGCAGTTTTTGTCTATCTGGAAAATGCACTATTTTTCCCTCATTTCTGAAGGATAGCCTTGCTGGGTATAGTATTCTTGGCTGGCAGGGTTTTTTCTTTTAGTATATTTGAATATATCATTCCATTTTCTTCTAGCCTGTAGAGTTTGCGTTGAGAAGTGCTGTTAGTCTGATGGGACTCCTTATAGGTGACTTCATGCTTTTCTCTTGCTTCTTTTAAGATTCTCTCTTTGTCTTTGAGATTTGCCAGTCTGACTATAATGTGTCTTGGAGAGGATCTTTCTGGGTTGAATCTGTTTGAGTTTCTTTAAGGCTCCTGGATCTGAAGGTCCATGTCTCTCCCTATACCTGGGAAGTTTTCTGTTATTATTTCATTGAATAGGTTTTCAATGCCTTTTCCATTCTCCTCCCCTTCTGGAACACCCATGATTCGAATGTTTGTGCGTTTAAGGTTGTCTGCTAGCTCTCTTAGATTTTCTTCATTTTTTAAAATTCTTTTCCTTTTTTTTTGTCCACCTAGGTTATTCCAAAAAGATTATCTTCAAGATCAGAAATTCTTTCTTCTGCTTGTTCTAGCCTGCTGCTTAAGCTCTCAGTTGTTTTTT